GGGGTCACGGGAGATGTCTCCGCGGCCTTGGGGACCCAGTCCGGAGTTTCGCAGCCGAGCGCTCGCAGGTGCGTCTGCGCGAGGACGGCGGCAGCGGCACAGGGGAGGACTCGGTCGCCTGGGACCTGGAGGGCGTCAAGCAGTCGCTAATGCTGCTTCACGCTGCTTCTGTGACCCGAGGCCGGGAACAAACCACACAGCGCAGGGGGTCCAGTCACGGTGGGGCCACTGCCCTGCACCAGGCCGGCACACTAAGGAGGCCACGTAGCCTGCGCCCCCCGCCGCTGCACCTGCGCCCCCAGCGGCTGCTCGTGGGCACGGGGGGGCCGAGGCCGTGGGCGCCGAGGAAGCGGTGGGCGTGTGCCGGCCCCCAATGTGTCGGCTGAGGCCCACACGCATGCAGCTGGCGAAGCGCTCGATTCTCCAGTTAAGCCTCCAGCTCCCGCAACGGGTTGCCGGCATCGAAGCAGGGGTGCGACGAGGCCTCGCGCAGCTTCAAGAGCTCGACCTCCCTGCGGAGCTTCGAAGTCGGGCGCTCACGCGGCAACGGGCTCCGCGCAAACTGCGTGGCACGCTGCGCTACGCTCTCCGCACCATCTTGAGCACGGCGCTCGACGCACCCGCTGTAGCCGCCAGCGGTTGGAAGCTCTTCTTCCTCGCGGCCCGGATGCTGCTGCACTGCGCCGCAGGGCAGAATTTCGTTCCGGCGAGCGAGCTGGAGCAGCGATGCGCCTACTTCCGACCGGGAGAGTGGCTGCAGCTGCTCCGCGCGGCGACAGGAACCATTGCAGGGCAGACTCGCCCAGCCGCGACTGCGGAGCATCCCGCGGTGTGCACTTGGTCCAACTTGGGAATTGTCTGCTGCGGCCCACGCCCTCACGGCCGCGCCATAGGCTCCTGGCAACGCCGACGCCCTTGCGGAGCTCCGGGACCCTGACTGTCGACCGCAAGCTCCGCAGGTGCCCTTGTCTGCAGCCGTGCTCTCCCACCAGCCGGACACCGCCTGCCCATGCCTGCCCCCTGCGGGAGTCCGTTTTCCTCGGGTGCCTGCGTGTGCACGCCGCGGGTCAGCTGCCGGCCCCTCTGGTGCTACCAACGAGCATCTGCGCCTGCTGCTCCTTGATGAGCCAGCTGACAGCGCGTTGCTCCACCGAGCTGCCGAGCGCCTGGCCAACGCGGACGTTCCGGAGCAAGTCCTCGCAGCTGTGCGGCTGGGGCGCATGGTGGCGTTGCGTAAGCCCAATGGCCGCGTCCGGGCACTGGTTGTGAGTGACGTTTTCAGGCGCCTGGTCGCCCGCGCGCTGGCGCAAGAATTTGCAGCCGCTTTCCAGGACGCTTGCCTCCCGTACTGTACCAGTTGGGTTTGAGCACGCGGGCAGGCACGGAGGGCCTCTACAAGCTCCTCCACACGGCGGACGCCCGCGCTACGGTGCCGTCCATTGATGCTGTCGGGGCCTTCGGCCATGTGTCGCGCCAAGCCATGCTAGAAGGTCTCCGGCCTCGCCCAGCTTTTGCCTTTTGCTCGCCAGTTCTATGGCAGTGCCAGCATCTACACCTGGCTCGACGAGACCGGCGCCGAACACGACGTGACGCAAGGCGACGGAGGCGAGCAAGGGGACCCGCTAATGCCGGCGCTTTTCTCCCTGGCGCAGCACCCCGGTTTGAGCGAGGCAGCTGCAGGGCTGCAAGAGGGTGAGGCCATCTTCGCGTTCTTGGATGACAACTATGTCGTGTCAGCACCGGAGCGCACCGATGGCTGCACAGCGCCCTGGAGGACGCGCTGTGGCGCCATGCGCGCATATACGCTTGAATCGAGGCAAGAACCGCGTATGGAATGCTGCCGGTGAAGAGCCTGCCGGCCTGGCCCGTCTCCAGCCGGTTGGTGCCGAGCCAGTTTGGACGGGTGATGAGCAAGGGTTACTGGTGCTGGGAGCGCCGCTCGGCAGCGAAGCCTTTGTGCGACAGGAACTGCGCCGCAAACGGGAGACCCAGGACCAACTGCCTGCCGTTGGGGACCTGCAGTGCGTGTGGCTCCTCCTGCTCTTCTGCGCCTCCCCGCGTGCAAACTACTTGCTTCGGATGCTCCCGCCTGGTGCGACTGAGGCTTTTGCGGGCGAGCACGAGCTGCGGTGTGCGCATGCCTAGCGACCCTGTTGTCGCAGGACTCCCTGCCCACGCAGGCACTGCCTCAGCTCACGCAGCGCGTGCACCTCCCTTTGCGGTTTGGGGGCCTGGGGGTGCGCTCGGCCGTCGACGCCGGCCGCCTACTGGGCCTCCTGGGCGGACTGCTTGCCGACCAGCTGGCAGCCGAGCGCACTGCAGTCCTCCACCGAGACCGTGCTGCCTCTCACAGCAGCGTGTCACGCAGCCGCCTGCCTCCGCGAGCAGGGCTACGACGCTCCCGCGTGGGATGCGCTGCTGCAGGCATGGCCAGGGCAGGAAGAACGCGAGTTTGGGGAATTTTTGCGAGGCTGGCAGCATCGTGCTGCCCTCACCAGTGACGAGCGCGCGCGCGCGCGCGCGCGCGCGCGCGCGCGCGCTTGATTTGCATCTTTCTCACACTGATGCCGCATCTCGAGCGCTGCTGCTGTCACAGGCCGGGCCACACGCTGCGCGTGCCTTCACAGTTTTCCCTACCTCAGCAGAGTTGACGGTGCCATCACCGCTCTTCCGCGTTTTGCTGCTGCCAGTCGCGCCGCGCGCGTGCGCCTGCCACAGGGACTTCCGGTGTGCTCGCATCTCGAGCCCTCCCTCTCGAGCGGGCAGTGGCGAGGGTGTGCCATGAAGCCGGAGCGAGGGTCGCCCGCAACGTTCGCCTGGCTGACATGAACATCGATGTCCCGGTCTCGGATGACCGCCGCATCGAAGTCGTCGCGAACGGGTTGTCCTTGTGGCAATGGTGCGCAGCAAGCTGTTGATGCCACCATCGTCAGCACATCCCTCTTGCTTTTGTGAGACTGGAATGGGGGGGGGGCTACATGGCCAAAAGGCATTTTAGTTTAGTTCACTTGTATAGATCTAATCTCTACTGGAGACTAGCCGGGAAGGGGGGTTGAGGAGGCCAAAATTGCTTGGCGACCCGGTCCCCCAGCCCAGTGCCCGGCCTGCAGCGGGCTCTGTAAGGGTCCAGGTATCCAAAACCTTTCCAGGCGAGTGAGTTTCCCAGCGCAGGCCAACTTCTGGGGCTACATGAACCCGTTTCAGTTTACACGAAGCCATTTAAGTACACATGTAGCCTGAGCACACAGACGCAAGGGGGATGTCAGCACCGTGACGCGGGCGGGCGACGCCCAGCCCGGAGCTGACGTGCATCCCGGTCGGGCTGTGGATTGCGCCGCCCGACGCAAACGCTGCCAGACCTACCCCGAGCTCGTGCGCGCTCGCCGCTACTGTTTGGTGGTCGTCGGTGTGGAGGTTGGGGCCGGTTCGGCGCAGAGGCGGCCACTTGGCTCCGGCTGCTCGCCGGGCAGCGTGCGTCGGACGTTCTGGCGGCCACGCGAGCGGCAGCATGTGCGGCGTGGGTCGCCCGTTGGTCGGGGCTGCCTGCCGTCGCTGCCCAGCGCGCCCTCGCCGCGTCGCGGGAGAGTGCAGGCGCCCGAGCTGCACGAAGTGCCTGCAGACGTGCGCTGGCAGCTCCCGGTCATGGGCAGCCGCCAGGGGCCTCGCTAGAGTCCCCGGCAGGAAAAAAACCCTCATCCCAGCACAATTTCAACAGTGTGCCGAGACGACGACCTGGTCGCCCCACCAAACGATGGGATGATGAGTTGAACAAGTTTGTAATGTCGCAGTTCCCTGGATGTAGTTCGTGGTCCGATGTAGCTCATCTGCCAAGATGGCCGTCAACAAGACATGACGAGCTAACACCCACCGTTGTCCCTTGTCCTGAAGGGACCGTAGTCTTCGTGACTCGAACGGGCAAAGTGCAGAGTGCAGAGTGCAGAGTGCAAAGTGCCAAAGTGCAAAGTGCAAAGTGCAAAGTGCAAAGTGCAAAGTGCAAAGTGCACAGTGCACAGTGCACAGTGCACAGTGCACAGTGCACAGTGCACAGTGCACAGTGCACAGTGCACAGTGCACAGTGCACAGTGCACAGTGCACAGTGCAAAGTGCAAAGTGCAAAGTGCAAAGTGCAAAGTGCACAGTGCAAAGTGCAAAGTGCAAAGTGCAGAGTGCAGAGTGAAGGGTGAAGGGTGAAGAGTGAAGAGTGAAGAGTGAAGAGTGCAAAGTGCAAAGTGCAAAGTGCGCAGTGCGCAGTGCGCAGTGCGCAGTGCGCAGTGCGCAGTGCACAGGGCACAGGGCACAGTGCACAGTGCAAAGTGCAAAGTGCAAAGTGCAAAGTGCAAAAGTGCACAATGCACAGTGCACAGCGCACAGCGCAAAGTGCAAAGTGCAAAGTGCAAAGTGCAAAGTGCAAAGTGCAAAGTGCAAAGTGCAAGGTGCAAAGTGCAAAGTGCAAAGTGCAAAGTGCAAAGTGCAAAGTGGAAAGTGCAAAGTGCAAAGTGCAAAATGCATAAGTGCAAAGTGCTTTCTTCTTGACATGTTGGGCTACCTTCTGTGCCCAGGGGTTGGGCTATAGCGGCTATCTACAAGGTGATTTGGCCAAGAAACCACGCGCGCTCGTATGGCGTATCACTTGCGTGCGCCGGGTCACTTGCGATGTAGGTGTCATCCAAAAACGCATATAAGTCGGCACGTGGCCATACGTGGCCCGAGTAATCGCTTTCACAGTAGAATTGGCGAACGAAGGGTATCAGCTCCACGCGCTCGAATTCAAGAGGGTTGAGACGTGAATATGGGAGCAATAACATGTAACAACAAGAACGGATCCAACGCATGATAGTCTCCGCTTTGATGCTCGCCGGTCCTCGCTCACCGACCACATCCGACCACCGTCCAACAACAGAGAAAAACATTGGCAACATAAGCTGCCACCTGAGACATTTCAGGCTTGTTGCAAGCGCTGTGACAACCGGAGGTATGCGTTCGTCAACTTTGTTTCGCCGATGTTTGCTGAACAGTTCCGTGCTGTCTACCAGGTGGGAGCGTGTTTTCAGAGATCGTTGGTGTGACGGTGCGGGCATTGATGCATGCAGGGGCTGGCACTGGCTGGCGACAGAAGCAAAAAGATATGCGCAGTCGCGTCGGCAACGACGCAGGGAAGGCAGAGCGAATGTTCTTACGACCTTTGAGAATCTTAGGTACAACAGTTGCCAACTAGCAGCCCTTCATTTACAACTAGGGAAGTGTGCTGTGTGTGATTCCGATGCTGGAAGGTTACGCAGATGAATGTCCTCTGTTGCTGCCAGTGTCTCTCGAGCTTCATATCAACAAACGAAGAAACTGTTGCCCTGTCAGGCTGGCGAACGTTGAGTACTACCGCAATAGCCCGGTCATGAGCATGGAGGAGAAGTTGCTTGGATGCACGCTGGTGATTGAGACATGTGTACGCAAAGGCCCACGAAGATTTGGCTCTTGAAATGCTTCTGGTTACTACTAGTGCATGCCCACAACAATAGGCGGTCAGGCAAATAAATTTGACGCAAAACGTGGAGAATGTAGCGATGCGCCCAATATTTGGGCAAAGTGCCGTAATGCAGGGCTCGGAATGGACACGCGGGGATTGCATGAAACAAAATGCAGCGATGATATGGTGCCATAGACAGCTGGCAGGACGAATGACGTCACAAACATGAAGAACGACTCAATGCATTGACCGAGGCGCGAAACAGGCATGAATGGCACCGAGATTGCTTAGGAACCACGACCAGCCATGAAAAGAAACAGGACAGGACCGGCTGTACGTGGCCCGGGCCGAAAGCCCTACGGAAGTGTTGGCGAACCGGCTGTACGGGGCTCTGGCTAGCGGGCATGCGCGTGTAGGCGCTCTATGCTTGACACTCACAAGCGGAGGCAGCACGTGCGAAGACTGAACAAAATGCATTGGTCACCCGAAAAGATCATTGAGCCACCCTTGTGAATGATGTGAATGGCGAGAGCTCAATGGCGCTCCTGCCATCTGGAACAGCAGTCTGCGACAGCAGTCTAAAAACATTTTGACTGCAAGGCAGCATGGGCAAGGCAGCAACGCCCGGCGGCTGCGAATCAGAATTGGCCAGCGAAGTGCTCGGCAAAAATTGCCTTTGCTGCCAGACCTTTGCAGACGTCGTGACTCGCTTGTGGCAGAAAGTCGGTCAAGAAGCCGGTTAACCGGAGGAAAACAAAAAACTTGAGGAAACAGGGTGTCGCAGCCTGGTCCGCTCGGCCATGGCAGCAAACGTCGCACATTTGGGCGTATGACGCCGTGTGAATTTTCAAAGCGAGCAATAGGCACTGAATGAAGGAATGGAGCTTTTTGGGCCCCATACAGCATGCAAGGCGGCAGTGCTGGTCGGCTGCTCGCGGAGCCGCCGTAGTGCCGACCAGACTGCAGTCGCGCAGGCGCAAAATAGGAAGCGGCGATTGATGGTCGGCCTCGTCCCATGTTTGTGCCATGCCCGGGAGGCCTGGAACATGACACCCAATTAGGCGTAGTGTGGCATCCACGGGACCACTGTTCCCGCCCAATCTCAGATGGCACCGAAGGCAAGTTGCAAAGTCATGCGTCATCTGCAACCTCTCCAAACCAACAGGATACAACACAAATTCGCAGGAGCCCAAGGCCCAGAGTTATGCCCAACATACTTCGTGCACAGCATTGGCAAGTACGCAAGGGTGTTGAAAGCAGCGGGACCTTGGACCGGGCTAGAAACTATGGTGAAAAAAATCTGTTTGTGCCCGCGCGGGTTTGCCTGCTGCGAGAGCTGCTGTTCTTGTTGCTCACAAGTATTCAAACAAACCGGGGGGAGTCACGACTGGCACGCTCAAAACATGGAGGAGCGGGACGCGACATGATGCGACATGTTACGCAGCGCTGGTTCTTGGAGATCTGTTCTGTTTGTGGAGTTCGCAGATTTCATAGTTTTGCCTGACACGATGTGGCTGCTGAAAAAGTGAGGGTTTGATCATGGTATCGCATGACGACATGTCCTTGCAAGTCAACATCTGGCATACGTGGTACCTATGGGTTTGGCTACTGACTTTTTACATGTTTTTGGAAACTTTGCCCAGCAGCCTATCTATTGGCCCGGTGGCTAAGGTATCATCCGCTGGTTTTTGACAATGGCATCCGGCAGAAATTTCCAGCTCCGACAAAGGCATGGTGTTGGTTTACTTGGTTTCAGATGCAGCACGGTGCGTTGTTGCGCGCAGGCTGTGAAGCCTATCCGCTTCAGAGAAAGCAGAGGGATGCAAGGCGAGTAGCAGGACGAACATGTCACTTGGATTCGTCATAGAAATGGTTCGTTTTCTTCTTTGACGCATGTGAACGTTTTCTGATCGCAAGGCTCCCTGCGCCTTGCGTGACCTGAGGTCTTATTCAGCTGTCAGCCTGCCACGACGACAACAATCCCTAAATTATTTGTCGGCATTGTGCAAGACCCAGGCTTCACGGCGCTGATGCAAATCTGTGCTTTCAGCGTCCAGAGCAAGGTTTTAATCACATCAGCTTTCTGCCAGGGTGCAGCCGCTGTTTCATGGTGACTGAAAGTAGTGTTGTTACAAGCAAAGGTCGCACTCGCTGGCGGGATGTTTCACATGTTGCAATTTCGCCACTCCCGCCATATGTTTAATCTTATGATTTGAAAGAGCAGAGTATGCAGGGAAGTTGGCCCGCAGATATATGCTTTCCACTTGTGCTTTTGTTGCGCGTGAGATCGGCTAGAGAAGTTGGATGGCCCCCGCACAAGGGACATCAAGCGAGGTCATGGAGGCTGTTGGTAGGAACGTGACGTCAGGTTTAAACATAAATAACATAACGATCATAAATGCATGAGTCCAGAAACAGTAATACAGCCCCAGACTCGATTTCGGCAAAGCTGAACCTTCCGTGGCCACATGAACATATAAGAACTGTAGCAGAACACCGAAGCAACACCTGCACGCTGTTCTTGCCGACCTGTCGTTCAGCATGGAGTCCACCTCCGTAAGCCTCTTGGGAAAAGCCAGGCCGGTGCTGTGGTGTAGATTTTGTCGATCCGATGGCTTCGACTAAGGCCCGTGCCGCGGTGCCAGCATGGACTGCCATGGGCCGATCTATGGAAGGGGTCAAGGTCCCATGGATTCCACGCACAGCCATGACTTGTATAGAGCTGCATGGTTGTATCACTGTTGTATCGTGCAGATAAGTGCAGTTCTCTTAGGGCACGAATCGGAACGAATGCCAGGACATGCGAACGCAAGTTGTGCCACCCTTGCGCAGCCCTCACATGCTCTCACACGTCTTCGTCCGCGAAACGACACGGCGTGACGGTTCTCCAGCTTGTGGAGGCCGGAAATACTGACAAACCTGGACAAAACGCCGGAGCCATGAGCTGAGCAATCGATGATCAAACGTACGACATGCCCCAACTTTCACATTTGCGTGTTTCCTTGCAACTTAGGTTCTTCGAGGATCCTGATCCCGTGCAGCACTCCGATGTGTTCCCTTCGTTGCCGCCTGAATGTGAGCTCGTGCCGATTCGCTGTCATGCGTGCACTATGTCAGTTGCCTCACTCTCACTCACTCACTGTCTCGCTTGAGATTTCCGCTCGATGGCATGGTTTTTGGCAGATGCCGGACAAATCATTCAGTGGCACGAGCTAAAAAGAGAGACAAAACAGATTCGTAATAATGCAGGTCGTTCCAATGCTTTTGCATGCTCCGGAAGAAGCTGTGCGGCTGCTGGAGGGTGCGTGAAAGCTACGCGAAAGCTGTGTGAAAGAGCTCCATGTGTTTGCAAGCCATAGGCTTATTTGCTTTGTAGCGTTTTGTCGTTGGTATATAGTTAATACTATCGCAGAAGGAAATTATTAACAAGTCAAAAAAAAGTTTTTAAACAGTCTTTTTGAAAAGTCCTCTTCAAAAGCAAGGGCTTGCAAACAATCCAAAGAAAGTATTCAACAAGTCCTAAAGAGAGTCTTAACCGAAGCCTGGGAAACGTCTAGGAAAAAGTCTAAAATCAGTCTCGGGGAGAGTCTCCTGGCGACCTCCGACTCTGCCCGAGACTTCTTTTCTAGACTGTTTTTAGACTTCTTCTAGATAGACTTTTTGGAGTCTTTTTTTAGACTATTTCCTAGACTTTTCCCAGGCTTCGGTTAAGACTCTCTTTAGGACTTGTTGAAGACTTTCTTTGGATTGTTTGCAAGCCCTTGTTTTTGAAGAGGACTTTTCAAAAGACTTTTTAAAGACTTCTTTTTTGACTATGTACTACTTTCTAGGATTTATAGAGTTAGCTAGGGAAGCCAGCCACATAATTGTAGCGGCGGTCATGTCCTTGTACGCCAGGCTGCGCCCGAAACAAAACTTGCCTGCACGTCCAAAGGTTTTTGGTCAGGTTGTGCGCGCTGAAGTCCTTGTACGCCAGGCTGTGCCCGAAACAAAATTTGCCTGCAGCGACAGGGGCCCTGCTATCAAGGACCCAAGTGTTTTTTGGTCAGGTTGTGCGGGCTGAAATGCAAAAATGCCCTGCCAGGGTATCCAAGTGCTTTCCCAAACCCCCTGTCGGCTCCGCAAACAGGGGTCTGGGAAAAGCGCCAATGATTTTTTCAGCCCTCCCCTCCGCCCCCGCCCCGGCCACCAAGATTGCGGAATAGTTGGGGTGGGGGTTGCTTGTAAGAAGGAAGGGTCGTGGCTTTGGACCTTGTTTGTCGGCTCGAATACAGGCTGGAGCCCAGAATGACTTTTCCGACTTTTCCAGTCAACCCACAATTCTTCAAGGCACCCAAGTCCTCTGTGTGAGAAGCAAGTCGAGCAACAAGAAAGTCGTTCTTGCCTCGTCGGTGAAAGATCGCGAAAGGCACGCGAAAGCGTTGGGGGTGTTTCCGGACAAAAGGATTTTGTGGGCGACCCTATGAGTTGAGTCTGACTGTCAGTGCTGTCGTGTTCTTGCCAGAAATGGTTTGGTTGTTGACATTTGATGTGGCCATT